GTAGGTAACTCAAAATATTTCCCTGGGGTCTTTTACAATTTAGATGCAGATAGTAGAAGAGCTTCATGCTGCACGTTTGGGAAAAACTTTGGATTTACCTGTGGTTCCGCCTTCTGGGGAGTTAATGAGTATGGAAATTGACTTGGTGGAAGATGATGCACATTCTTCTGCTGGTATACCCTATATGTTAATGTTTATAATCTTCTGTGCTTTCCTAAGAATCAGTGTACCAACATTTTTTAATAATATTTAGATAAAAAATGTTAAAATGTGCTCATTTTTTGAAATGATAATAGTATTTTTTTTTTGGCTACAGAAACCAGATTTAATATTTATCTTATTTCATATACCTCACATTATTAGGCAGTTAGACGCATTTTCTCTTTCTCTTTTTGTCAAGAGGCAGTAATCAGAGTTGTGAGTTGTCTTTTATTCTTGCTCTTAATTATATACCTTAATAATTTCAGCTATGTAAAGCACTGATCAGAAATAATGCAGATTGCTTGAAGGTATTATATTCATGGATTTCTTGTTCATATATCAATAGTAACATTTTGATGATGTTTTACTACTGAGAGAAGATAATGATAGAGAGAACCTCAATCTATTAGTATACTATTTTGAATTCTATTTATAACCATAGTAATCCTACTCTGCACTCACATTGAATTTTCTAATTTACTAAGTGTTTTTTTATGCATTAACTGCCAGAGATGCAGGACAGCACTTAGAAACATATTACTGCCAGGACAAGTCAGTTTATGATTTAAAATCCTCCTGTAAGCAATTTATAATATTTATTGGCAAACAATTAAACATTGATTACTTTGTCTGAAGAATTGGAGTAAAATTGGACTAAGAGTGCTATCAAAAACATTCTCCTGGGCTGATTCTTCACAATCTTGGCCCCAACTTTTCCTGTGTGTGTCTGCTTTGCCAAACCTTACCTTCTTTACCCACTTGGACCTAGATGGGTCCCTATCCCACACCCACTCAAAACAGTGTTTGCAGACCATTAAGTGATTGTTTGGGGAGAAATTTACTTGGCAACAAAGAGATGGGCCAGATAGATATTAGCTTGAGAGTCTAGTCAACTGTGTGATTCTCTGATAGAGTTAAGTTTAGAAAACAAAGTTGGGTTTTAAATTGAATTTTTAATGCTTCTATGATATTACAGTTTTAATCCTTATATAAGTCTATAATCAAGTGTCATGAAATCTTAACTTTGGTCTTTTTCACTAGCAAATACTACAGACAAAAAGCTTCTAATTGTTATTGACACAAATATTCTGATGAATCATCTCAAATTTGTTAGACTTTTGAAGACAACAGAAATACCAGGTATTTATAAATCATATTTATAGATTCTGATTTTCTTTCTTGAGTTGATATTTTATATTAATAGTGATGCAAGTGTTTTTTTCTTACGAACACATCTCCGTTTGGATATGCTATTGAGCATATTTATATATTAATATATATATTAAGCATAATCAATTTAAGTTTAAAAAAGAGCCTTCACAGGTTAACCTAGCAGTCCAGACTCCCTCTTTTTTGTCTCTGGCAATATTTATTTTTTTAACATTCTTTTGAGTTCCATTTTTTGTGTATTGTCTTTCCATTTAACAAATAAATTGTGAATTTCTTAAAAGTAGGGATTATGTGCTTTAAAATGTTGACCAGTTCTACAGCAGTTTGATTTAGTAGCTCAATAAATGTTGAATTCTAAGAAATCTTTTTATTTTTTAGGTTTTGTCAATTTAAGTTTAAAAAAGAGCCTTCACAGGTTAACCTAGCAGTCCAGACTCCCTCTTTTTTGTCTCTGGCAATATTTATTTTTTTAACATTCT